AGGGCACACCGGTTGGGATGGGAAAGATCGTCAGACCAGGTCCCCTGAGACCCAATGAAGAACCTGCAGTCCAGGACCCGATTGTAATCCCAGCGCGCAGCATAGAGGGCAGGATGGCGATGCTCGTCCTTGTCACGGCCAAAAACTGGTTGCCAAACAAGCTGCGGCGACTTGCCTCTCGCACCCCAGAAGGGCAGAGAGGTCTGCGTGGCCTCGGCCACTTCACATTCAGCCATATTGGCCCAGAGCTTGTAAGCTAAATCTAACCTACGTTGAGTTTCAACCCCTTTTCCCTTCCGAGCGACATCCACCGTGCCCTCCAGGAAACTAAGAACCGCATCCCAAGAAGGGGGTTCACGGGTGGGCCCAATGGCTTGCTGTTTGGGAAGAGGAGGGGGCTTGCGAAATTCCAAAACTTGCATCTGGGCGGGGTTAGGAAACAACTCCAGATCCACAGGGCTGTGTGGGGACAGGGGGGAGTTGTTATTGACAGTCACCTGTTTAACGACCTTGCTGATGCCCGACGACACGACGAAGTAGTCAAAGACTTTGAGGCCTCCCTGACTCCGAAGGGTGAAGCAACCGTCGGTGGGGATGATAAGCTGGCCCTTAAACTCTTGCACGAACATACTGCGGCTGATGTCCTCTGGGGCCATGTTGAAGTCCCCACCTATGATAGCGGGAAGGTCCGTGTGAGAAACGCTGGCTCCAACCTGCGCCAGCAGCTCGACATTGCGCTCGGAAAGACCCTCCACGTCGTGAAGGTAGACGGACGCCACTAGGATACGAAGCCCCCCTGGAACGACCACAACCGCTGCGCCTGCACGATGAGGGGCGATGACGAAACCCGAAGAGAGAGTGTGCATGCCCAGGTAGGAGCGGACGAGAACGGCGATGCCCCCCGACGTGCCACCTCCAGGCCCAGGAGCTGCAGGCGCCCAACAGGATTTCCATCCACGCCGAAAGAGCCACTGGGAAGCTGAAGCAATATCTTCCTCCTCGATGAGGTGATGCTCCTGAACCAAAAGAACGCGCCTTGACTCTGCTGAGCCACTTGTGCTTCAAAGAAAGCCAGCCAGTGATATTGCACGTCTGGACAACAAGCGAGAAATCCTGCACTGGCGGCGCAGGCGGGGGGTGCACTCCCGCACCCTCAGAACTGAAGAAAATATCCTGGCTTAAAAGGGGGGCCTCCCCCCCCGAACGATGCAGCGAGAGCGCCGCACTCTGCTGCATGTCAGGAAGGAGGCTTCTGGCGGGCGGCGGCGCCGACGGCAGGAGCTGGAGCCAGAGGAGTGCCAGGAGCACTCGCTCCGCCACCCTCAGCAGGCGAACCCCCAGCTCCTGCAGCGGCTGCCGCTGCCTCACCCTCCCCCGACTTGATACGCTTGGTCGCGGATTGGAGGTAGTCCGCGACTCTTTTCCTGGCTTCCTCGGAAATCTCCTCTCCACGAATGAAAGCCTGGAAAGCTGACTCGTCCTCAGATGAGACCTGAGGCATCTCAACATCTGCAGACTCAGACACCCCACCCTCCCCACCCCCGCCCGCAGTAGCAGGCTCAGCGGAAACAGGCGCGGCAAAAGTCTCACAGGCTGGCTTGAGCTTTGCCCAGGCCTCACGTATGGAACCCAGGTCGCCACCCTCGAGGACGTCGTTGAAGGTCGCCATCTGGTCGGACAGGTCTCTGGCAGGATCGTCAGCAGCGAGGAGGCGGACTTTGGCAGCAAGATCTTTATACCGAGCACGAATCTGGACCTGCTGCACCTCCGCCTCTGCCTTCTGCTCCTGGAGCCTGGCAAGCTTGTCCTGGCACTCGGCAATCTGCTTGTCCAATGAAGCCACGAACTTCTTATTCTTGGAAAGCGAATCTTGAACGTCACGATGCTGCTGCAAGAGAAGAAGCGAGTCCTTGACCGACTCGGCCGATGACTTGACACACGTAGCCGTCTTCTGGATACTTGCAGCGAGCGCGTCACGCTCTGGGAATTCTTCTTTGAACTGTTCCATGAGCAGGGCCATCTGGGCAAGCATGGCTGCGGGAGTACGGGGCGGCGCGAGGGCACCTCCTTTGCCACCCTCACTCCCACCTTTCCCACCACCCTTATTGCCCTTGGCCCCCTTCTTGTCCCAACTGTCAGCCTTGGGCGGACCGTACTGCCATTGACCACCAGGCTGACGAGCAACAGTAGGGTCAACAGGAGCCACTTGACGAATGGGAGCCCAACAGTTCGCACACCATTTGTACCACGGCTTGTTGCACTTGATCGCGCCACACGCCGTACACTTTGCCCCACCATCGCCTGGGGCCATGGGACAACACTGGAGAAAGAGGGAGACCCTGGCAGCGGGGCGCTGCCACCAGGGAGAAAAGATGTCGGACTGAACAGTCCTAGCTCTGCCGCGGACTAGCGGTATCCGTGAAAGCCAATGCGGGCTCAGCCCGCCAAAGCAAAAAACCTTGAGCCAAAATGGCTACGGAGGAGGAGGAGGAGGAGGAGGAGGAGGAGGGGAGGAGGAGGAGGAGGAGGGGGGGGAGGATGCGGGGGGGAGACCAGGGGGTGGGGCATCGTTTATGCGACGCTTATCCCGATGGGCGTGGCCTGGGCCCCACTGCCCGATTTACTCCCCCAGATGGGGATACCGGCCGCTTCCTTCGTGTCTCGAAGGGTAGATTCCCAAGTGGGGTGCTGAGATGGTAGAGGGGGTCTTGGCTGGGATGGGGATTGGCATGGGGGCGGTGCGAACGAGAGTGGGGGGGATCTGAGGGATGTGATTTTGAGGTGCTTCCAAAAGTTCTTATGTTAGGTATGGGTGTGGGCCTGCCCTCAACCTCCCTCCTTCTCCTCCTCCTCCTCCTCCTCCTCCTCCTCCTCCTCCTCCTCTGCCTCCTCCTCCTCTTCCACCTCCTCCTCATCCTCCCCCCCCCCCCTCCCCCCCCTCCACCGCGTCCTACCCCTCCTCCCCCTCCTCTCCCACTCCTCCCCCTCCATCTCCTCCCCCGGGACCAGAGGAGGGGGGTAGCGAATCCCAGCGATCCAAAGAAAGGGCGAAGGCCTCAAAAGCAAGCCCCTCGTCTCGGTGGCCCCATCCCTACCCATGTGAGGGTCGATGCACACACACACACACACATACACACACACATATATATAACTAAAAACACATAGCTATATATATGTGTATATCTATATATAAATATGAATAAGTATGTATATCAGCCACCGTGCCGCAAGGCGCGAAATGGAGCGTTCTCCCGGTCCTCATGTGTCCTCTGTTCTCTGTGCTCAGGATTCGGGGTTTATAGTATTCTGAGGGCTGGGGCCCAAAATTCCCAAATCTCCCGGGCGCTCCCGCGCGTGCCTGGACTGCACCTTTTCCACTTTTCCGGAAGCCAGCGGGCCCCGAGACAAGGGCCCCAGAAAGCACCCAAGACTGCCCAAGAGGCCCCAAAGAAGCCCCAAGAGCGCGCCACCCCCCAAGAGGGGGCAAAGAGGCAACAAACATTGCATTATCGCGGTTTCGGGCCCTCCGACGCTCCAAGATGGCCCCAGAGGCCCCCAACACCGCCCCAAGAAGGCCCAAGAGGCCCCCCAGAGGGCCCCAAGAAGGTCCAAGAGGGCCCCAAAACGGCCCAAGAGGCGCCTAAGATCGCCCAAGAAGACCCCAAGACGGCCTCAAAAAGGGGCCCAAAAGGGGAACACGAACCGACACTTCGAGCCTTCCGCCCCAAGAGGCCCTCAGAAAGCCCCAAGAGACCCCGAAGAGAGCCTGAGAGGCCCCCTAGAGGCACCACGAGGCCCCCAAGAGGCCCAGGAAGAGGCCAACGAGGCCCCCAAGAGGCCTCAAACTGCCTCCAAGAGGCACCCGAGAGGTCTCCCACGATACCCAAAACGAACATCCAAGTGGCCTCTGACCCATAACCCAAGAACAGTGGCGGGATTGGCCAAAGGCCACTCTATACAAATGTATGTATGTATGTGTATATGTATACATATATGTATGTGTGTATGTATACTTGGCCTAGACATTCCGCGAGACGTCCTCAAAATCAGGAGCCAGAGCCCAGTCGCAGAATGACGTCCAGATTTTTTCCAGGCGCCGCCCCCTAGTCCCGACCATTTCCCCACAACAGTTTCACATCCCGAGTCGACGGTTGACGGTCCCGAGGCCTGGCGAGGGCCCCTGGAGGCCGAACATTGCTGAAAACCTCCCTAACCATTTGACGACGCGAGCATGTCTCAGGGAGGGATGCGGGTGGGGGAGAGAGGGCTTTCTGCCGCCAAGAAATCAACGTGGGCGGAAAGCGGGCGCCACCCGCAGAAGCGCAGAGCCACAGAGCCGGCCGGAGAGTCTGAGCTGAAAAACCTAGGCACATCTGCCAAGTCGGGGGGCGTAAGGGTGGGGTAGGACCAGAGGGGAGGTTGGGAGGAGAATCATCCGAAACGGTTCCTGGAAGAAGGAAGTGTGAACATCCGGCTGGGTTCGTCCCCTGATCCCACCTTTGGACGACCCGGCCCTCTGCGAACCTCCGAAAGAAGGGGGGACAGAAGCAACTCTGCTCAACATCGTTCCCAGGGTCCATGCTGACAAGCTTTCGAGCCGCGTCCAGCCGTGGCGACGAAGGGTGCCCTTATCCATCCTTCCTGCGCTATCCCTGCATTCTGCTGGTCTGAAGAAATAATTGTTAGATTTCTGGTGGCCGTCGTTGACCGGGGGGGAGGGGCCTGGGGCCCCAGGTAAAAGTAATGCTTGGGCGGGGTGCGGCACGTCGGGGCGGGGTTGCTGCCGAAGCATGCGCGCGAGCGCCAGCATGTGAAGGGGGGGGGTCCAGGCCCCCCACCGAGGTACGATCGTCACCGTTACCGCGCGGGGGGTGCGGGTGTGGCCCGGGTTACGACCGTCGCGTGCCCTAGGACTATATAGACACAGTATCGAGCCCATGGTGGGCCACCTCAGCTCCCCCAGACGGCTGCACGCAGAGCCCCCCAAGTGGGGGGGAGGCGGCCGCGGGCGACGTCCTGCACGTCGACGGTGAGCTGCCCCACGCGCCCGAGGGCCTCGCCCGCCGCCAGCTGGCAGCCGCCCCCGCCCTCCGCGCGCGCCTCCCGGGGCAGAGAGGCTGTTAGAAAACAACTCACGGAAACTGTTGGTCGTCCCAATTGGGCCCAGAATCGCGTCCAACGGCGCGCAAAGCGGACGTGATGCGTGACCTTCCGATGGCGCCATTGGGTGCTATTGGGCGCCACTTGGACACTGGTCGACTCCATTTGAACACTACTCGGCGCTCTGCATCCTCGGGGCAAGTGTTCGCCCCACCTGGATCGGTCCAGCGGCCCGAAGAAGATCCCCAAAAGCTGAAACGGAGGAATAACGTGTTCGGCGAAAACCAATAAATACCCCTAACCCTTGTGGAGGGGGCCCGAGTCAGGAGTGCCATAATGATTAGGAACAGGGGGTCTTTTATGCAGATGCATCAGACCAAACCGCCCAGATCTATCATCCCTTCTGCGAGGACAAGGACCTAAGTGAGGCCACGTCTTGATCGTGTGATTCGGGTAAGGGGCTCTCTTGTTCTCGATGATTTGGGATTCTGCGGCGAGTTGGGGCACAGAGGTGCCGGCGGGCGATGGGCGATAAGAAGAAGGCCGCGGAGCGGCCTAAAAACCCTCGGGTCGTGCAGACGTGCAGACCCGCACATTGTGCCTCAGAGCAGGCTCGCGAATCGAGGGGAAACACCTGGTCTGAAAAAAACATACCGTCGGCGATCTGGGGATGTGCTCAGGGGAGGTGTTCGGGGCAACAACTGCAGGCGTCGACTCGGAAGATCGGATCGGATCGAAATGCGCGTCGGACCTGGCTGCACCGAAGCGAGATCGAACAATCGAATCGGATCGACCGCGCCGAGACGAACAAGAACGCCATGCGAGCACCAGACCGCATGGTCGTCGGAACATCGGAACCGAATCGGATGTGCGAGGCGGGGATGTATCCATACCCGCGTCGGGGGCGGGGTCCACAGAGGCCTCCCAAATGGGGCCCGCGTAGAAGCATTCGGAGGATGGCACCGCATCGGCGTTGCATCGGCGACGACGGCGATGCATCCGCGACGTCGGCGTGGAGAAAACAGCTCCGCATCGAGCCACGTCGCCGATGCATCGGCAATGCATCGGCGATGCGGCACGACCATCTGACCACATCCACTCCGACCTCATCGCGGAGGCCCAGGGTCCAGCCTCCCCCTGCCACGTGTGATCGCTACCGTTACTGGGGGGAGGAGAGGGGCTCAGCCTGGAAGCAGCCATAGCTGGCAATAAAGAACACGATAAGGATGCAAAGGCCTTGGAAGGCATGCCGGCACATTTCGAGCGGGGCGCGGCCAACCAAAGTGGCCAGGGATGAGCCGAAAAGCAGAGATGCAAGACAAACCTTGGACAGTGGCTCATATCCACTCTGTGTTACTGCATGCACATCCGTGATGTGCGTCTCCTGGGGTTTTTATGGGTAGCCTCTTGGGGGCTGTTGGGGGGTCTGTAGGGGACCTCTTGCCGAATCCTGGCCACCTCCTTTGGGCACCTCATATGGCTCTGCGACGCTCATTGGCGAAACGTCCGTTCCTGTTTTCTTTCCGGGCCCCCTCTCGGGGCCGCCTTGCGGCATCCGGGGCAGTCCTGGGGCGCCTTTGGAAACCTGGGGGGGGCCGTCTTAGGCCGTCTTTGGGGCGTCCTGGGCATCCCGGGGCGGCCTGGGGCACGCTGAGAGAGCTGCTCGCCCCTCCTGGCTGTGCTGAGTGCAGGGGCCGCTGCGCGCCAAAGGATCCACAAAACAACCTCGGGGCGGCCCTCTGCGCCTCGGGGCCCGCCCACGCCGCGCCCGGGCAGGGGCGCGGGCCGATGCGGAGCGAGACCCCGCGGGCCTCCGCGCGGAGCGGCGGGGAGGCGGCGGCACCGACCTGGCGGAGGGCGCACCGCGGGGGGTCTCTGCGCAGCGGGGGGGCACGGTGGGAGGCAACCCCTGGCAAGGGGGGGGTCTTCATGCCCTGGCCCGTCGTCGTCGTCCTCCTCCTCCTCCTCCTCCTCCTCCTCCTCCTCGTCCTCCTCATTTTTCTTCTCCTCATGTTTCTCCTCTTCTTCTTTTGGAATGCGCCACCGGGGCGACACAAGCAACGTGCTTGCTTCTCTCGCCTAGGGGCTTCACCACCAGGACAGAACCACCTCGTGGGAACACCCGCTCCTAAGACTGCCATGGGACGGGCACTGGCATCCGCCACACGGCCAAACACTTCCCAGGCCACGTGGGAAGCCAAGCTTGTCTATACAGTGTTAGTCAACTACTATCACTCGCCAGCCGGAACGGTCCAGAGTCGCCCATACGTCCGTTGCAGGCGCGGCGCACCAAAACTCAAAAAACACGCGGTCACGGGAGCCCAGAACCTCGACATCTTCCCAGTCCTACTTCTGTTCTTAGCAAATGTCGAGGAAGCAGCGGTTCCTCGGCCATCGTCGCCCTGCCCCCGCTGGCATCCGTCAGCATGCCCCACTGCACCGCCTCTGTGCCCCCATGAAGCACCCCGATGCGATGCGAGCTGGGATGCCCGTCCCTGTCGCTGAACCGGCGTTGGTGTCCAAGGGTCGGTCACCATTGGCCTTCTTGGACGGCCTCGCGTCGTTCATACAGCAGCTGCAAGCGCGAAGTCCAGACTTAAAAAGCTACACGGTCATTGGAGCTCGGGCCGTTTGCTCCCGTGCTTCTCTTCTTCCCTTCTTTTCCCCTTTTCCCCCTCACGCATTTCTGCGTAGATCACTCGGGTGCGATATCGGTTCCCGGGCCGCCGTCGAACTGCCCCCGCTGGATTCGGCCAGCGAGCCCCACTGCCCCGCCACTGTGCCTTCAAGAGGCACTTTGGTCATGTGCGAGCTGGGTTGCCCATCCTTGCCGATGGACAGGCTTTGGCCACTGAGCGTCTGGTCATCTGCGGCCTGCCTGGATGGCCTTGCGTCGCTCATGCAGCCGTTTCGGGCGCGGCAAACCAAACAACACAAAGCAAGAGGTCACTGGAGCTCGGGCCGCCCCACCTGTCCCCCTTTCTCCTCCCACGCTCCTACAGTCGGACTTGATTGGACAGGACACGCGAGAGGACACAGGACCCTTCCAAGCGCCACATTGCCATAGGAATGTCGGAGGCATAGGTCGCGAGACACAGGACACAAGGGCACCCTTGATTTGGCAGGATCGACCAACGAATTAGTGCCGACTGTATTTAGAACGCGCCGGCGCGCTGGCAGTTCGACCCTGCCCCCGTGGTTTGGGCCAACACGCCCACTGCACCGCCACCGCGCTTCCACGCGGCACTTCTGTGAAACGCGAACTCTTGGACGTCCGAAATGGGTACGGGAAAAAGGGTCACAACGCCCAACAACAAAACCTTGCCGCAAACCAAAAGCGGCCGTTGCCGGGCAGGCTGCCTTCTGTCTCAAATGGACATAGGCCGCGGCGGCGCGGACAGCGAGTCCCGTTCAAAATGAACAAGAACTGCTGTTGGGCATTGTACCCATTCTGCCCGTGCCCATGTCGTTCGTGCCGAAAGCTCGGATGTCCACCGTTGTCGATGAACTAGCCTTGGTGTCCAAGGGTCAGCTCTGTTTGGGCCTGCTTGGACACCCTCGCGTCGTCCATGCAGCCGTTGCGGGCGCGGCATTTCAACATAACAAGGTAAGCGGTCACTGGAGCTCGGGCAGGCCAACCATGTCTATCGCCCTTCCTCCTCCCACGCTGCAACTCAAGACAATAATGCGAGATAGAGCTTGCCCAGCCGCCGTCGCTTCACCCCCGCTTACTTCGGCCAGCACACCTGCTGCACCGCCACAGTCCCTTCATGAGGCAGTCAACGGGGTTTGGCGCCTGACTGTCAGCTCAGCTGTGGCATCCTTGGACGGCTCCTCGTCGGGCACGGCACCTCAACATAGCAAAGGAAAAAATCACTGGAACTCGGGCCGCCCGCCCCTCCTCTACATAGATCACTTCTTTCTCCCACCGTCTTACTCAGGACGCTAGGGTGTGATAGTCTTTCCCCCGCCATCGTCACCCTGTCCCCGCGGCTTCGGCCAGCACGCCCATTGCACCGCCACTGTGCCTTCATGCGGCAATCTGGTGATGCCCGATCTGGGATGCCCATCTCTGCGCATAAACAAGCGCGGCGTCCGAGCATCAGCGCAAATGTGGCCTGCGTGCACGGCCTCGCGTCGCTCACGCAGAGGCGCGGCACCTCGATGTGGTAAGGCAAGACATTGGAGCTCGGGCCGCCCGCCCCCCCCCCCCTCCTCCTGCCCCCCCCCCCCCCCCCAGCACGGATTCCTCTCCCTATCGTTCTTTCCGTTTCCCCCCCTTTTTCCCCTGCCGACCCCCGCAACCATGTCTAGGACATCTGGGGAGACAACGATTCCCTGGCCGCCGTCGCCCTGCCCCCGCGACTTCAGCTAGCACGCCCACTGCACCGCCACTGTGCCTTCATGCGGTACTATGGCGTGGTGCGAGCTGGGATGACCATCCCCGTCGAGGAACAGGCCTTGGTATCCATGCGTCAGCTCATCTCTGGCCTGAGTGGACGGCCGCCAGTCATTCCTGCAGACCTTGCAGGTGCGGCGCCCATGACGTGACAGGCGCGAGACTCAGAAGAGAGAGGGCGAGAGAGAACACACAACCACCTATAGAGAGAGGGGGGAAAATAAACAGAGAGAAAGAGAGAGGGAAAGCAAGAGGAATTTGAAAAGAGAGAGAGATAGAGAGCAACAACAACACGAGATAAAGGGAGAGAGAGAGAGAGGGGGAGTGAACGAGAGGAGAGGGACAAAGAGCGATATCTATACATACAAAGTAAACGTGTATGAAAAAAAAGATAAAAAGGGGAATCGAGAGAGAGCTAGTGATACATATGTATATATATAGAGGGAGCGATATAGAGAGAGAGAGAGAGAGAGAAAAAAAGAAAAAAAAAAAAAAAAAAAAAAAAAAAAAAAAAAAAAAAAAAAAAAAAAAAAAAAAAAAAAAAAAAAAAAAAAAAAAAAAACGACAACGAGAGACAGAGAGAGAGAGAGAAAGATAATCAAAAGGGGCACGAGTGACAGGCATGAACACGGTAGAAGAGGTGCGCACGCATGGCTGCAGGCTCGCGCGCGCGCACGACGAGGGCGACCAGTGCCCCCACCAGGACTCGGGAGGCGGCGGCCAGCGTCTTGGTGGAGACCTTGAGGTAGTTAATGCTTCCTGGGCGAGGCGAGAAGGCCCGAGATGTTAATAACAAGCCTCTCGCCCATCCCTCGCCCAAAGATTGACAAACTTGCAGGCGACTGAAGGAATCCGGGCATGCCCTCTTCGTCTTTCCTCTGAGAACCGGGGTAAGATGACAAAGGAATTAAGATCTCATGTTCCCTCTGCTCAGGGAGAGAGGGGGCGAGATGAGACTTTGATAAGAAAGTATCCGTTAAGCAAGATTACTCTATCAGGAATGTGCAGGGAGGAGGCCGGCTGGCCCACGACCGACGACGCGCGGCGGCCGAGGGCTGGCGCGCTCATTTTCTCTCCTGCAAGCCAAGGCTGGCTTGTTCGAGCATCCATGCAGCTGCGGAACGCAGCTGTTAGTTCCAGCGGACACTGCAACGCATGCAAACTAAGCTATGTTCTAATTTAATACGAGGCGGGGAGGAGCATGTTCACCCCCCCCGCGGCGGGCCGCGTAGAGCCCATCCAGCCACAGCACCCCCGGCCTGCACATTTGCACAACCACCGGAGCCAACCCGAAAAAGCTTTTACAGCTCAACGGTGGCTGCCAGGGGGCCAAGGGCCGAAGAGGCTCGACGTTTCCCACCATTATGGTAAATAAATTCTCTCCGCTGGACCGGCTTAGCCGACCAGCAGAGGTGTCCGCATCCAACGCGCGTTCCGCGCGTGGATAAAATTATCTTGCATGCGCCTGCCTCGACTGAGTCACGCGGGCGAAACTCAGTTCAGATCCTCCCGCGGGCTGGGCTCGCCCTCTGCTCTGGGCGGCGCCGGGGGCGGCGGGTTTGACGACGCCGACCCCCCCGCCTGTGCCTCCACGCCACGAGGCGTGCGGGACCGCCCTCTTCCTTTTACAGTGTCGCTCTTCGATGCTGCCCCTTTTGGCGGGAAGCGCACGTTGTGCTCCTATGTTGATAGCGCGCGCCAGTAACTCAGAGTGTACCACTCGGCGTCGGGCAGCCACGTGATCCTGTTCCGATGGACGCAGTACCCGGCGTGGGTTCCCATTTTCTTCATCCAATGCGCCAAACCACGGTCTACCTAAATTTACCGCGCCATGTATTGTAGTAGGCGTCGGAACAAAGACATTGGTTCTAGTCATGTTGTTGAACCACCTCTCCCAGCCAGTCCGAAGAGTGACTAAGTCACCCTCTTCGTCCGGCCAATGAAAGGCCGCCAGGGCTGGGCAGGATCTCGGGCGATCGTATTGATCAAACTTAGTTTCCCACAATTTCGGCCACCAGGCATTAATAGGCGGGGCCTGTCTGTTTACGGTTCTGGCTGAATATTGAAGCCACGATATGAACATTCTGAGCAAATGCTTCAAATATTGAAAGAAAGGAGCATGTCGCGCCGGAGGCTGAGCCTCGGCGTTTCCTGGGGCCCAAGCTGGAAAGTTGCCGGGCTGGCTATTGCCAAATATCGTGCCAGCGGCCGCCATCGTAGCAAACTGTCCAGAGGCCCATCTTCGCTCCTGCGGATTGTTGTTGCTGACGTTTTTCGTGGCATCGGCAGAAGCTCTCGCTTGCCTCTTTGCACGCGCCTTTACATATTCGTGGCGATTCCATGATAGACCCTCTTCATGATCCACCGCTATGAAGAGGCCGTTAGCCTCTAGGGATTGAGGGGAAACTTTGCGGTTCCACGACTGGGTCATGCAATCGTGCGCGACCCTGCATTTGTATTTGACTGGACAATTGCAGACAGGACAGTTGGCAAAACCTGTCCTCACCCAGCGGCACCGGCCACGCAGGAACCTCCCGTGTCATCCTAAGGGACGGATATAATTCAGTCCTGGATCTCGGTCGACAATCTTGGCCTGCGGTTCCAATTAATGATGATTCTCTCGTCTGTATGAACCCAGGCAATAATCGACTCATTGTCGAAGGTGACCTCGTATGAAGACAACTCGCGATTGAAGAGTACCGTCCAGCGCATCTGATCTGCCTGTCTCACAAGGGAGACGGCTTTGTCGATGTCAGTAAACCTCGGCACTTCTCGAGACACTACGGCCCCGTCGGGGCAAACCCTGCGCGAGAAGCGAGTGAGCACTCCGCCGGTAAAAACAAGAACAAGATCCCATAGCTCATGGTGAATGGGCCATAGGTGGTGGGTGTCATCTGCGGGCCAAGTCCCCACCGATGGCGGCCCCCCTTTCCTGGGCCGGGCTATTCATGGGTACTAGACTTCTCGCGACGAGCGGCCGTCCATACCTCCGCTGGTTTAACCGCGGAGGAATATCTGAGGGATCAGGCATTGTTGGGCTATTTGTTAGCCGGAAGCAATCGCAAGAATTCATAATCTGCGTCATGGCAAAGCCCAGAGTCGCTCTTCGGGAAGCGAACACTTCCACTCGTATATTACAAAGATGTTTGTAAGTCTGCGACATGAAGAAGAGAGCCGTGAGTCCTGACTTGGCCAGGGTCATCTGGGAGGTACATCCTTCCAATTGAAGCAGCGAGCGATGAATGTCACTGGCATGCCCTATAGAATATGGGTATCGGCATCTCCCTTCCGTCTTCTTCTTGCAATGCCTTGTGTCGCTCCCACATGGCGTGATTTGCGTTCTAATAATCTCGGGACTACCATGGGGAAAGATTCCTAAAACTTCGACCATCCCTGGCGGCAACGCAGCTAAGCTGTGTGCGGCCAGGGCGTACGATTGGAAAGTAAAACCATCATCTTTTAGTTTCTGCACCAGGTCTCCAAAGTTGGCCCAGCCTCCCGACGATCTAGCATAGTCAGAGCAATGCCTCGCGAGGTATACAGCGCACTGGCCTATCTTCTTGGCCAGTACGTCCGATCTGTAGCTCAAGCCACTCCAGGTGTCCGAGCTGCCTAAGGCAGCCGGGTTTCCTTCACTATCGTCTCCGACTATCAGCGGCTGCAGGCACGCGTGGGCCCCAGGGGGTAAACCCGTCTGGAACATCATCGGAATGAAATTCAGCTCTAAGGTAATCCTTTGCCTGCGCGAAAGCTCCATCGTCCTGATCGAGGCCCCCCTGCACTGCAAAGATTGGGTATTCTACGAACTCGGCCATATATCGAAACGTAGTTCCCGTTCGACTGCGGATGGCTTCGACGTGCGGCGGCACGGGGCCCCTTATGTGGGCGTCTTGGATCGTTTGCTTTAGTGGTCCAGGCGTACTCCGAAGTATCAGTTGACGTTCTTCCGTCGTCACATACAACCGTTTTTCTTTGAATACAGCAGCATGCCCCACTGTGACGTCTCGATCCCCGTGGGTAGGGTCCCTGTATAGTGGCCGGCTCTGTCTTTTGTCAGGAGCAGGCGGAAGACTCAATCTGCGAAACATATTCTCAGATGTTGGTCCAAAAGGAAAAATCTCGTCGTCCATGGATTCTAAGAACTGGGGATCTTCTTCGCATGGGAACGTCGTACAAAAGTCCTCCGTTCCCGTGTCCGTCTCAGGGATCCCCGGATGGCCTGAGGCCTCCATTGGCGGCTGAGCTGCGTGCTTGGGAACATGCGATGTCCCCTCATATGATGGCACCTGTGTTGGACTCGATGGCTCTTCTTGTGCCTCATGGTGTCTCTCTTGCTCCGCCCCGGTTGAATCGGGCGGAGGCATCGGGGGGCTCTCCGTCGCAGCTGAGCCGGACGGAGGGGCAGGAGGAGTAGGCACTCTGACCTTACTCGTTCCAAGAGCCACCTGCCTCTGTACGTCTTGACCACCTAGATCTCTCCGCTACTATCGGAGTGCGCACAAGATTCGGATCCCATTTTAAAATCTGTCCGACAATAGCATCAGCAAGTTCATTCCATGCGGCGGAATCTGTGTTCAGCTCATGTACTTCGTCTTGTGTGTTTATTCCATAAACACATTTTGCTGCCTTAATAAACGATGCAGCTGAAACCCGGAATCTCCTCATCAGAGGGGTCTCGTCCGGGACGTCGTGCGCTCTCGATCGTAGCCCTCTCAAACGATAGAAGAACTCTTTTGTCGTTTCTCAACGCCACGCTGGCTCTCGGGAGCTCGAAGTGCAAACGCGAGTCCTCTTTTAAGGCCTGCAAGATAGAAGTTATGTCATCGTCCCCTTCCAATGTCGGCGGATCTTGAGACGAATGATCCCCATCCGACTGAGTCGCGGGGTTTGCAAAGTTTGCACCCTGAGCATCCAATGGATTGTCATTTGCATCTTGGCGCGAAGCGACTTCTTCAGCTGAGGCAGCCTTCGCCTCGGCGGGTGGGGAGTGTGCTGATTCGGGCCGTTCACCCATGGCACTGCCTCCGAGATGATGCGCATCTCCCCTGTGTCTGACCCATCTGGGTGCCTGTTTGGAACGAAGCTCATTTTATTGAGGGCTCGAAGGATCGCTACCAACTGCGGCTGCATCACCAGGCTTAGCCGGTGGCTGAGCAGTCATAGGTGCAGCGGGGTCTCCATCAAATCGAAACATGTTCGCTGGCAAAGGACTTAATTCCTCCGACCTAGGTCCGAACTTCGGCGGAGGGGCCTTCTTAGAAGAAATCTCTTTCGCCGGTGGAGCATGCTCCTGCCTAGTGAGGCTCGGCCAATGGTCCGGAGGGTTCGTTGGCGTTTGAATCGCTGGTGGGGCCTTTTTGGCGGGAATTTCTTTCGGCCCCCCAGGAGCAGGAGGCCTAGGGGCAGAGGGCCGACTGGCAGCCCCAGGGGGCGGCGGTTTGCAGGTCCTCCCTAGTTTTGCAGGCGCCTTTCCTAGGTCGGGGAAATTCTTTTTATCGATCGAGACTGGAGTGCCGGACGGCTTAGGCGCCGGCTCCTTCTCGCCCCCTTCGGCCGCCTTCTCCTTCTCCTGTCTGTTCTGCTCAACCAATTCAATTGATTTCCCCGAGGCCTCGCCCCTATGTATCGCGTGGATCTCGGTCAATATGACTCCTTTTTCTTGGAGCCCAGGCCAAATATCATCGTGTGTGTCTTCGTCAGTTTCACCCTGGCCCCTCAAATAGGCGCTCTGTCCATTCTGCCAGTCGATGGAATTCAAGCCT